TGGATTGGAACCTATTTTGACAACCTCTACGCTAGGATGAATTAACGTACAACCATTAATAAAGTTATCCTCTATTTTTTTAATAGGTACTATTAACCAAAGTACAAAATTGTAGTAACAAGAATAACTGGGAACAAACACGACTGACTCTTGGTAAGCATACCAAGTAGAGCAGGGGGATGCAGATGTTCCAGAGTAGTGTGTATGTATGCAAGCATTCAGTGTGCTATGGACATCAATTAGTATTGGGGGGCGGGGAGAAGATAACTGGCAGATAGGGACAAGTATTTATGATAATCACCATTCTCATCTTTTCTGGCCTTTTACCATCCCATAATTGTTCCAAAGCAGAAGTACAGTGTGTTAGGTGTACTAGTTTCCTAGGACTGCTGTAACAAAGTACCACAAATTGAGTGACTTAAAATACAAACATTTATTCTCTCACCAGTTCTAGATGCTAAAAACCCTAAATCCAGGTGTTAAAGGGGTTGGTTCTGTGAAAATCAGTAAAAGGAAATATCATTTAAAATGAAGTCTAGAGGCCAGATGGGGGAGCTCTCACGTCCTACCACTAGCCAGCAAATACACACCCCAAAGGAACAGAGAGTACCTTGCAAGTCTTGCAAGTGGATACCGCTGTACTAAGCCCAGCAGGAGAAGGAAGTTGTTCTCCTACCCCAGCAACAGCCCAGCCAATAAGAGCCTGTCACGATTCAGGCAATGAAAAGGCACCATGCCTCAAACTCCCAGTTTACTCCCATGCATTTTTCATTGGTAACAGTCCCTCCCAACTCCCTTCTTTTCTCTGTAATAAAGCAGTCTTCTCCTTCGTTCTCCAGACTTGCCAATGCTTTGTCCTGAACTGCAATTCTCTGCTAATCCCTAGTAAACCATTTTTTGCTGGTAAAGTAACTAACGGTTTTAAGTTTAACAGTTCCTTCTGGAAGTTCTGAGAGACAATCTGTATGTCTCTCTCCCTCCTCACTTCTGATGGTTTGCAGACAATCCTTAGCTTATATCACATGACTCCAATCTCTGCTTCTGTCTTCACTTGGTGTTCTACCCTCTCCTCTATTTTTAAGATTAAAAGCACAGCCTTTTAGTCAGATGGATGTGGGGTTTGAATCCAGGCTCTGTTTCTTTGTGTTCTGGGGAAAATCCACCTAACATCTCTGAGCTTCAGTTTCATGGAAAATGGGAACAATAATATCTTCCTCAGGCTGTAGTTATGTTGCAGAAGGCGGAATATAAATGGTGGCCATTGAAATTAAGCTCACAGTCAATACAGAGTGATTTTTGCTCTCTCCGGTTTGTATATTTTAGTACGATGAAGTACAAGACCTATACCATACAAATTTAGGGACAAAAAGTACGAATCCTTATGGTTAGTTTACATTCAGAGATTTCTCAATTCCTGAGCAAGAAGTTCAGACTTAGGGCCTCACCTTGCCTTCCTGTGTTGTCTTTTTGTCTCCCTAAGACATTAGTGGACAGATATGACCAGAGGAACTAGAGAAATACTTATTGTTTTCCCAGGCATCAAGTACAATAAGGTTCATTCTATATTAAAAGTTAACTCATTTGCAATGCTGTCAGCAGGCAATAATACGTTTCATGCAGTGTAAACAGTAAAGCATGTACCTAAGAGTCACTAAGAATTACAAGATTTTTCGATTGGAAAAGTTCTTAAAAGTGTAGTTGCTCACTTATGATAAACATCTTTTCTTCAATGTGGTATATATATACAATGGAATACTATGCAGCCATCAAAAAACCAAAATCTTGCCATTTGCAACAACATGGATGGAACTAGAGGGTATTATGCTAAGTGAAATAAGTCAATCGGAGAAAGACAAGTATCATATGATCTCACTGGTATGAGGAATTCTTAATCTCAGGAAACAAACTGAGAATTGCTGGAGTGGTGAGGGGTGGGAGGGATGGGGTGGCTGGTTGATGGTCATTGGGGAGGGTATGTGCTATGGTGAGCGCTGTGAATTGTGTAAGACTGATGAATCACAGACCTGTACCCCTGAAACAAATAATACATTATATGTTAATAAAAAAAATTTAAAAAAAGCTTTAAAAAAAATCTTTTCTTCAGCTTTCATGACCAAATTATGGCCCAACAAATTATGTAGCCAGTGCTGTGTGGAACAATTCTAAATATTAAGGGGTTTTATAATGGGTTTTTATTATATCTAAACCCAGATTGGTCCAGTGACTTTGTCAGAGAGCTACTTTTAGACAAAACTTTATAAAAAGTGAGTGAACAAAAAGAAAAAAAAATGTGAGTGAACAAAGTTTGTCTACTTACAGGCATGGCAAATAGACAATATCCAGGTATGTGAATGGACTTTGCAATCTAAATATCCATCAAAACAGTATGGCTTAAATATACTATGATGTATACATAAGACATACTACTTGGACACATGGAAACCTAATCCTGGTTGCAGGTTAGAATTATTACCTCAGGAGATTTAAGAAAAACGGTCCTGGCCCTCACTGTGAAATGTATTGAGTTTTTGTTTTTGCTTTTTTGCTCCCAAGTGAATCTAATCTGTAGGCAGGACTATGAACCATTGATGTCAGCCTTAAAGAGGATATAAATCTATTAGCATGGAATATTGTCTACAACATATAGTTGTTCTAAAAAAGATGCAGTTTGTGGATATGATTCCATTTGTGTAAAATGTTCCTAATATGCAGTACACATTCTGTAAGGCAAACAGCAAACTGGAGAGGATGGATATGGAGAGAGGAGCTGAGATTCCTGAGGCTTAACTTTCTATACTTCTGTATTTTTTTACAGCAGAATGCAGAATTTTAAAAATATGGTATTTTTTAAATCAGCAAAAGCTTCACATTTTTATTTTCATGATAAAAAAAAGACATGGTAAGTCTTTGATTTATATCTTCCAGCTGTTTAGAACATGAATATTTACAATTTGTACTAGTCCTCACAATTTTCCTTAGCTTACAGTTTAGTATGGAAAATGTTATCACAAGCATTGTCTCCTTCGTATTAGTTGAACTCATTCCCATTTACAGGTAAGAAGACGAAGAGTTAAGTCACCAGACTCTGCTCTTAAGATAATTCAACTCAAACCCACATCTGATTTCAAGCTGAACGTTGTTTTTACTATACTAACCACCTTCTTGATAGCTTCCTCTACACAGCATTGCCACAGATAGGGGTCCCTATTGGCCAAGGAAACATTAATTGGGTGTTTGGGTACCTTCCAGGCACATTCAAAGTGTGTGCCTTTATTTCTTCCCTTGCATCCTTAATATTTAAGACGTTCGGAAAGACAGCGTTCTGTGATTTATCTCCTACACTTCATCTAATCGTCAGCAAAAGCTGTTTGCTTTACCTTCAACTCTTCCTAGATCTGACCTCTTCACCCCTCCTCCTGTACCACTTTGATCCAGGCCACCCTTTTCTCTCTTATAATAGCTTCCCAGCTGCTCCCATGGGCTCTGATTTCACTCTTTCCTCCCTACAACCTAGTGGCCACCCAGCATTCAAGTGAGGTTAACTCTAAGTCTGATCAAGGCCTATCAGTCCCTTTATCACTCACAATAAAATCGAGTCCTCACAAGTACGATCTGCTTGTTTTATTTGCTGGCTACTTCTATGATCTCGGCTCCTATCCCTCTCCCCGTGGCTCACTCGGCTCCGTTCACAACAGCCTCCTCTGCTATACGTCACACACATCATTTCAGGCCCCTTTGTCTTTGCAGCTTTCTAAGCCTAGATCATTCTTTCCCAGATTTATCTGTACTAATGCTCTCCCTTTTCATTCAGATCTCTGGTCAATTATACCCTGATTCTCAGAGGTCTTCCTTACCCACCCCAAATAAAGTAGCACCCCCTTCACCCTCTATCCCTTTATCCGTGCTTTATTTTCACATAACACCTGACATTTTTTAAGATGCATTTTAAATATATATTCATTTATTTTTTTATTGTCAATCTTCCACCATTAAAAGAGAAACTGTCCAAGAGTAGGGACTTTGTTCTTTTTCCTGCTGGATTGGGAGGGTGTAGGACCAGGCCTAACAAAATAAACATTTACCAATCATGTGAATGAATCTTTCATTTACATTCTTCAAAGATTTTATTTATTTATTCATGAGAGACAGAGAGAGAGAGAGAAGCAGAGGGAGAAGCAGGCTCCCAAGGAGCAGGGAGCCCAATGCGGGACTCGATCCCAGGACCCTGGGATCATGACCTGAGCCGAAGGCAGACGCTTAACCATCTGAGCCACCCAGGCGCCCTTTCATTTACATTCTTAAGCACTTTTTGCTTCTATTAGTTTTCCTCCCTTATAGTACTATTATAATTCCAGCCAGGCTTTTAAGCAAAGATGGTTTTTATAAGTGAATACATTTTACTTACTGCAATTGCGAAACAAATGTTAATCATCATTACAAGGGTTTGCTATAGGGGCCATTGTGTTTGAAGCATAGGGAAAGCGGACACTCCAGCAAGGCCCAGAGTGAATCCTACCAAGAGTCTCTGTGCACAGAGAAATTGGCTGGGGAGGAGGTGGGAGCAAGGGCAGAACTTAGAGGAAGAGGGAGGAATGAGGTTTTGCTTGAGTTGAATTGAAACTGGCATTGTCAATGGAATTAAACGTGTTCTGTAGTCTCCCGTACCACCTTACCCCGCCTGCCTTCCACCCACAGCAGTAAAAATATTTTACACTTCCGGGTTCTAGACTTATAAAACAAAGACGCTTTTTTTTTTTTTTAGCAAATCAAACTTCAAGGCTAACTTTATTATTCTCTCCTCCCATTTTTATTATTGAATAAATTTTCCCTGCACTATGGGCTGGGTTTTTTCCTCTCTGTCGTCATGACATTGTATGTTTTGACCCAGGTGATCATTTTTTCTCAATGGAGGGTGGATAGAAAAAAAAAAATCTCACACTGGGATGATGCAAGTGGATGAGCTTGCCGACTAAAATAAAATATTCTTCCTTTTTGCCTTTACAGGCCAGTCTCATTGGGCACATCCAGTTCAGAGGATGCTAATATAAACCTTGCCCACCTCTCTCAGCCCGTCTTTCTTACTCAGACAGTTTCCAAGCAGCTCTCTGATGGAGACACAATCTTCAGTTTCCAGGACAAACTGTGCCACGGCCTTCCGTCCTGGCAGCTGGCCCTGTACGGTCTCACCTTTGACACTGTCCAGGGCCACTCCTCTGATGTCTTTGGGCTTACCCGGCACCCCAAAGATGATAAACAGGCCCAGACAATCCTCTCCTATCAACTTACAGAATTCTTCCAGCTTATCAAATCTACTTCTCTTCCTGAAAGGCTCCTCTGCCCTGGATTCCGGAGGTGAGAAGTCACGGGGCTTAGATTCCATAGGAGGGAGAGAAGACATTTGCAGAGTTTGCACCGCCAGCTGAAGCCTGACCTGTTTCTCGGATCCCCAGAAGGTCCAAATCCAGTCTGCCCCAAACAGTACAGCTTGGTGCTTGGTCATCTTGGTGGTGGTGAGCCACTCGTCCACTCCCTTGTCTTGGCAGAAAGAGACAAAGTGGATTAAGAAGATCTCATTCAGAGTGTTGGAAGCCAGGCACAGATTGCTCAGAGGATCTTCAAATCCAAGATACTCCTTCACTTTCTGAGCTGCATGGACTATAGCCTCGCTGACGACCTCACAGATGCTGGAAACCTCTTTGCTGTCCTTCAGAGGCAACTGTTGTGATGAGTTTTGCCCCATTTTGTCTGCACCCAATCAATACTACTTCCAGAGATCAAACATGTGAAGCTCATTCAGAATGACTTCTTCAGAGTAAAAGTTTTTACCACGAAGTCACGTCCGTTAATGCAGTCCCAGTTTACCGACTCAACATTGACGAAAAGAGTGGTGGAGCTGAGCACATATACACACAGCTAAACAAACATGTTAGGTGTCCCTGTTTGCCAATGAGGTGTGTTGTATTCATACAGATTTCCTGCTGGCTTATTAAATTAGAGATGATTAACTTGGACTGAAAACATCTGTTCTTCTCTAGTGATACTCTACTTCTAATATTGGGCAATCTCTTCCAAGATAGGTTTCTGCTTTCAAAATTTTACTTAAATTAAAAATAGTATTGAGTTCTTTAAAGAACCATACACCTCCTTCTAAAACTAACTTCTTCAGCTTTGCTGGCAAGTCATTTCCCTTTGCTTTTCTAATAACCCCTCCGCCATGATTCCTTACCACGCAGCCCAGCTGCTTGTTTCCTTTCATAGAGAAATTCCTCAGAGTCCTCAAATTTCTACCTGTTGATACACGCTATAACCCTCCCCCTAATAAATGTATGGGAGTTTGCAAATTATAAAGTATTTGTGTCACTGTTCTATATACCAGAAATAAAGCCAACTGGGTATTCTGAACAAAGGAAAATAAAGTAACAGACCATAAAAACAGGAGACAATTATCAATTGACTTTATTTCTTTTCATATGGTAATACCAGCAGTGTATAATGTTTTGTAAATAAAATATATATCATCAAAAGAATTTTAACTTTATCACATATCATCAGTTATGTTACACTGCCCTGAATAAAGAATATTTGGCATCTATAACAGTCTCCTGGTATTTTTTTTAACCAGGTTTGAATAAGAAATTGTTTTTCAAATGGTGACATATGTTCACATTAAAATAAAACACTAATATGTAAGAGCCCAATACCGTTACCAAACGATGAATGGTAGGGAGCAAAAGACTATTATTAGCATCAGATCATTTTAGTCATGAATAAACAGTAATTTGGTATTACAGGCCCTTGTTGGAAAGCTTGGTAACCTGCTAATAGCTTGCAAGATCACACCACTGACATTTAAATATAATTTATAAGCAAATCCACTGGCACATACTGAACCGCCCATCCCCATGCCAATTTGTGAAAACCTGTCTTTATCAAGTTGGCTATTGTGAGAAGTGATGTAGTAGTGAATAAAAAATAGGATATTTTTTCAAATACCCCTAAAAAAAATGATAAACACAGTAAGTTTTTGCCACGGCTCTCTCCTTTAGAAATGCCGTCTGGGCCCTGTGCTATAGAAAAACACGAACTACATTTTCTCATCACAGTATAGCCATTCTAAAACTCATTTTGCAGCCTCAGCATTATTGAACTCTGAGACAAAATGTTCAGACGAATATTCACCTTCTTAACAAAATCCCACTCATTGATAGCCTGAGAAATGTACAATCAATAACAGTAGGTACATTGTTAGTATTTTGATGTATTGATATATTTAGCAAGAAGGAAAATAAGCAGCTTAATACTGTAAAGGTTTTTGTTTAGGTTTGGTTTCTTCAGAAATCATTTCTACAAATTTGGGGGTAACTTCTGAATGCATTCACGTTAATAGTATTTAAATGGCCCTGGCATTCTTCCTTTTGAGGTGAAAGGATCCAAGATGGAGGTTGAAACTTTTTTAACTCTTCAACATTGGGTGATGTGTCATCAAAGAAGGGGTATTTCATATATCTTAATTTAGTTGGGATGATCAATATCATTAAAATTCAGTTGTGGAGAAGGAGAGATCATCCCAACCTTTCCAAGGACCAGCTGGTATATGACCATTTTGATCACTGTATTTGCTTTTCACCATCTTCCGTATGTCACAAAATAAAAGTTCTATTTTCTATGTACTAAATATATACACATATTTAGAAAAATATATAAAATAGGACAAGAGGCAAGTGGAGGTGCGGCTGGCATTTAGCGGGCACACTGAATACGTGAAGAAATCCCACATACTGCTTTTGAAAGCATGTGATGTCCTGCTTTGACGGCCGCAAGGCTGTCACACAGACATGACAAGATCATCCACGCACTGCTTCCCGCTTCCCAAATCCTGCATACTGCTGAATGTGAACGTGAAACGCTAGGTAAAACACTCGTATTAAATGCAACACTTTAAATATATCACAGATTTTTACATTAAATAGAGGACAATTATACTCTCATTCACCAGTGTCTCATTTTTCATGGCATCTTCAGAATAGGTACCCGCCCCCCCACTTCCTGTTTCCACTTCTGAGAAGGTGGAATGATAAACCGTATACAATCTGCTGCTTGTTAGATCTTCTGCGAGCTGTTTGAGAAATCAGGTGGAGAAAAGACAAGGGGCTCCTCATGCTCAACCAAGTGCTCGGCTTAAACATTGGAGTCCTCGTCAGTAATGCTGGCGCTGGGGGAACAGGCGGCAAAATCTCGAAACATGTCGTCCTCCTTTAACATGTGCTGGAAAACAAGGAGATGGGGGTCACGCACCCTGGGAGCCAGGAGCTTGGCACGACACATCCTCCACTAAACGTGCAGTCCTTTGGGGTTATTTTTAAACATCTTTTTAGAATGACATTTTATTTTTTATCTGATTTTTTTTCAAGATTTTATTTATTTATTTGAGAGGGAGAGAATGAGAGCTAGAGAGCATGAGAGGGAAGAGGGCCAGAGGGAGAAGCAGACTCCCTGCTCAGCAGGGAGCCCGATGCGGGACTCGATCCCAGGGCTCCAGGATCATGACCTGAGCCGAAGGCAGTCGCTTAACCAACTGAGCCACCCAGGCGCCCCTTATTATTATCTTTAAAAGATTTTATTTTTAAGTAATCTCTACCCCCAATGTGCGGCTCGAACTCACAACCCCAGGGATCAAGAGTCGAACGCTCCACCAACGGAGCCAACCAGGCGCCCCTTTAGAATAACATTTTAACTTCGTTTTACAGACTTACTGTTAGATTGTTGATGCCTTCAGAGAACGCCCCTATCTGTCTCACCGTCCCTTCTGAATCCTCCATCTGCAAAGAACACACCACCACATGACCTACTCGTTTGCATAATTTCAAAGAAAGCACAGCAAAATGAGCAAAAGTCTAAGAGGAAATAATGCAAGTGATACTGAACGGGCTGGGAGCAACACAACACTTCTGATGATACCTCCTTTTGTTACAGCAACCAGATGCTCAAAATGGGACAAACGACACTTTACTGGCACATCTAGCCTAATGCTCTGATGTTGACAATGACATCAAAGGATCGGTGACTAAGGGACAATATTCAAACCCAGGACTTCGCACTGAAAAGACTAAATGAGCTGTGTATTTCTGACTTGATTTAATACACAGATTTCCATAATACAGAGACGGTATAACGCAGGGGAATAGCCAGACTTTGGAGCCGGCCTGGCAGCTTGGAACCCCAGGTCTTCTAGCAGCTCTTCTATCTTGGGTAAGTTACTTAAACTCTCTGTGCCTCGGTTTCCTTCCCTCTAAAATGAGGATAACAACACTCTGTATGTTTTAGGGTCACCGTGGAAGCTGATATATGTTGAGTGCTGAGGATAGTGACTGGAACATAGTAAGCAACCTGGAAGTTGTTCACTATTGTTTTATTATTATATTTATTTTCAGGTATTTGAGGAAAAACTGATTAGTAGACACAGTGCACCAAGTTTCCATTTAGTGTTTCATTGCTGGAGGAACTTTATTTTTATTATTTTTTTTAAAGATTTTATTTATTTGACAGAGAGAGAGACAGCGAGAGAGGGAACACAAGCAGGGGGAGCGGGAGAGGGAGAAGCAGGCTTCCCGCAGAGCAGGGAGCCGGATGTGGGACTCGATCCCAGGACCCTGGGATCTTGACATGAGCCGAAGGCAAACGCTTAACGACTGAGCCACCCAGGCGCCCCACTGGAGGAACTTTAAATAGGTCTATCGTGTTGCCTTTACCTGCTCTAACCGGTCCAAATCATCTTCGTCATATAGGCGCATGTCCAATCCAGGTTGAAATCCTTTCTTAGAGGCACTTCCTGATGCCTGTCCCAATTCCATTGGACAAACATATTCTTCCCCATCTTCCTGTTTCTTCTTTCTCAGATTCCCAAAATTGCTGAAGGTAAGTTTCTTTGGCTTTAAACGAAGAGCAAACATCCAGGGATTTAATAAAATTGATATGGCAAAGGATTGATAACATGCCTAATTCAATTATTCATTCCATCCACAGAGAAAAGCAATTGGATGATTAAATTGGTGTGACAAAAATAAAAGCATCCTGGGTATATGATTGATGCACCCAAATATAATAAATGATCCTTTTTATGAATCTCAGAAGATTAGGCTTGTTCTCCTTATTCACACCAATTAGCTGGGTAGTCACTGTGATAAGCAAAAAATGCCAAGAGCCTTAGTTTTGATTAAACAGAACTTAATGCAATGATATTTCTCAGAGATGATTCCAATTTTGTGGGGTTTCCCCATCTAAGATCAGGAAAAGAAAATGGTCCTGTGTTTTCTTTTTGGGTGAAGCTATGATTATCCATAACGTAACTGGTGGCAGCTAAAGGAATCCTAACTCGTTTGGAGAGAGAACTTGCAGTGAAACTTGGAAGAGAAACTCCATCTTTGTCACTGAACAGTCCCTGAGACTATCTGTTAAGCAGATGGTGATCAGGCTGATGCTGAGAACTTAAGTAGAACAGTATCTCTCAGAAGTTTCAAATCTGGCACAGATTTTAAGGGAGCAAGGAAGCTAAAGAGAAAGTGTCAGGCAGGTAGAGGTGGTTGAAAAAATAAAAAATAAAAAGAGAAATGTATATGTATTTATGTATATAAAGAACTTGGTACAAATTTGTGGAGGAGCTGATAAACCCTAACTCCCCATTAAGTTGATTGCGGTAACAGACTCAGAAGAGTTCAGAGAGAAATGATTTAAAAGGAAAAGTAGACTCCCATCGCTGAAGCTGAGCTCCTGAACATGGGTTCTTTCCTGTCCCAGCCTCTGCAGCCCATCAAGGTCCTTGCGCCTCCTGAGGCCACCAACTCCACCGAGTACCTGCCCCTCCCTGCCCCTGGAGTGCTGACCTCTCCAGCGGAAGCCCCTCTATTTAATAACTGCTGGAGCTGTTGTGTGCTTTCAGGGGCGGGGCTGATAGGGGTGGGAGGGTACGTGTACTGGGTGGCACGGAAGCTCATGAAGCTGGGATACGCCCCTGGTCCAGGGACTATTACGCAGATAAGTCATCGGCATCAGCCTTGCTTGTTGGGGTGTAGTCATCCTTTCAGACCCCAAAGGAAAGGTCTTTAGTGTTGACTGAAAGTACTACCTGTGAATTTGTCATCTTCTGTCCATGTCGCCAGGACACCAGAACAAGCATGGGACTTTTGGATGTTCTGGACAGACAAATGGACATTGACAGACTTCAGTCCTGAGGATACTACAAGACTGAAAAGACAAATGTGGGTTGTTATTCTTTGGCCATGAGTGTTGTGGCCACCTTCTCAGGCTTCACAGGGAACAATAAATCCCTCAGAGAAGAGAACAAGTTCTGTGTCTTATCTGGTATAATAATAAAAAAAAGAAAGTTAAAAAATTTTAAATTAAAAAAAAAAGAGGAAATGATAAACCAAAAAAAAAAAAAAAAAAAGAGGGAAAAGTAATCTGAATTTGGTATGACCCAGGAATCTGGGTAAATCTGGAGATAGCCATTCTCTGCTGGTCTATCTTGAATCGTTTCTTAAGTATCTTTTTCTAACTTGCAAGACTGGTCAATTGTAAGTCAGACAAATTGAATCTGTCTGAGAAAAAATCCTCCTCTTATACTGGATTTATCCATAGAACAACTGCAATTAATATTTGAGCCCAAGTCATGGACTCTCTGCATTGGCAATATATTGACTGCATCCCAACATCATACTCTTCATTACTTGTAACTCTAATAAAATAAATGATTTGAGCAAAGATTTCCCCAGAAAGACACTTGCAAAAATGCATTTTCTTAATTACTCTTAAAGATGCACAGACCATTAACCCATCCACAAGACTCAGTAAATTCCAGAAAATGGGATAGTCAGGTCAAAACCAAATTTCAGCTTTAGTTTTTGCTTTAACCAGTTATTAGAAGACACAAGCTTGAACCAACCTTCACTTTGGCAGTGGCTGTTAGAAGTACATAATCTGGTAACTCCATGGCATCACGCTTTTGGTGCTGGGCCTCAGCACCGATCAGAAGGTTGAAGTGAGTAGCCAAATGTCTTCGCAAGAGGGTCTTACTTGGTGGGATGTTCAATAACTGAGCCATTGTTTCTACATTAAAACGAGGTTCTAGAACCTATAAAAAAATTACAGTTGCTTAAGGCACCATATATCATACATGTCTGCACTGTGCTTCATAATTTGCAAAACTCCTTCATTTAGTCAACACAAATGATCCCGCAAAAGCCCAGTGAAACAGACGGCATGGACTTCAATCTTCAAGCTATATATCTTTATTTTTCCTAAGCTAGTGAGAAGTAGAGCCATTCCTGACATCCACACATTCCAAAGCTAGGGCTTGTAGCTCTCTGAAGTGGAGCCTTTGGAATGCCTTTGGAAGGCAACTCCTTATGTCAATGTGCAGAAATATAATCTGTATGTTGCAGGTGTTTCAAAACAGGATCATATGAGAGCCAGGAGTCAGATGTCACACAAGATAAAAGACAATAAACGAGAGACGGTTTTAAATCTGATCTAGCCTTATGTGATACAAATAAAAAATATGGGAAAAAAATACTCAGAAAGTAAAGACTTACTAGAAATGGTACAGGAGGGTTCAGTTTGATGACGCTAGGGTTATGACAAGCAAACTGATAATATCCTACTCATTGGACTAATGGAAACAAAATGATAAGAAGTCAGTTTTTAGATCAAAAGAGAGTCTTACCATGAGTCCACCATGGACACCACTGCCTCTGAGATTGGGGGCATATTCTGCCAAGTCCACGGAGCGCAGCCACTCCATCACCCGATGGTTGGTCCACTGCTGAACTTCTGATGGGGTGATGCTGTTCTATGAGAACAAACAACCACCAAGAGCTTCAGTCATTGACTATGGGATTCCAAACACTAAAACTGCATGTTCTAAAAAGTCTGCCTTACAGAGCACACTTACTCGACATTCCACTAAGTGTTTACAGAAAGGGTAAAAAGGTGTTTGCTAATCTGAATTTTGTTTTGAGGCATCTATGTCACTGTCCCAAGCTTTTTTACAAACTCATAAAGCAGTGCTTTAGGAAAGCAAGTCTTCAGAGTGATATTTAACTCAGTGGCTTAAGGAGGCAGGAAAATAAAATACACCCAAGGAAAGGAGGAAGGGAAATTAAAAAATAATCTTTGACTTTAGTTACACAGGTGGAACCATCATGGGGGTGGGGGGGATAGGAGGAATATAGGAAAATAAAGCTCAAGAAGGTAATGAGGCTGGATTTGAGCCTCTGAGGAAAACAGCAGCTTTTCCTGCAGGCCCCACGAAGAAACGGGTGTTTGTTTTGCACACACAGCCAGTCACATGCACGGAGAGCGCATGCTGTGTAAATCTCAACCTCAGGTGCTACCTCGTCAGAGGGCCGCCTCCGCAGACAGTTGGGTTCAAAGTTATTGATCCTCAGGACCTGGATAGCCCTTTTGATACTGAGATGGTGTAGCACACTCACGACTTTCAAAGACAGTAAGTCATCCTGTAAAAAAAAAAAACAAAAACAGGAGCTCACTGAGCTAACCTTCTCAGGGAAATTTCAGAAAACACAAGTAAAAGTAGAAAAGCCCCTCTACCAATAGGCCTCAAGTGCTTGTGTTTTCAAACCCCTTATTTGGTAACAACCTTTTTCCTGTTCTAAAAAAAATCTTCTCCAGGACCTCAA